TTGGGATCTCTCGCCATATGCTGAGCGTTGGCATCCCAAGCTGTTGTTCAATTAGTAAAGAAATTAATTTCTGCTTTTATTTATCTGCTCTGCAGAATGGAGAGCCGGGCTCCCGGGCAGAGGAGGGGACACAGATATATCTATGTAGCCACCAGGGGAGGTGGTCTGTCCCCCACCCCCTCCTTTGGTGCAGGGGGAACCAGGAGATCCAGAGGTGACACCGGGAGGTCCCCAGGGTCCCCGGGGAGGGGGACTTTGGAAACCATGGGCCAACCCAAGAGGAGGAAGTGGCTTTGGTTGTGGGGACCGGTTTGGCATCTTCGGACGCACTTGCCCGCACAGGGCTGGACGGGCAGCCACCGGAAGATTGAGCAGCAAGCCCAGAGGGCAGCAGGGGACAGAGAGGGACAGATGGCCCGTCTGTGGCCTCTTGGCGGGCAGGCTGGAGGGGAGGCTCGGGGCTCAGGCTGCAGGATGCCTCCGATCCTGGAAGATGGCTTGTGCCCAAGGCCACTCTTTGGCCTCCTGCCCTTTCCAGCTCCCAACGCCCACCCCCTGCACGGAGAGTTTAGTGAGCATCTACTACGTGCCCGGCTCTGCGCAGAGCTCCGTCTCCCCCCAGCACGCTGTGCGCGAGCTTCCTGCCTCTCCCCCCCCCCCCGGATTGCAGGTATACAGCAAGCGCTTCCTAAGCAAGCCTCTTCTGCCACATTATGATGTCCCTAGCTGAAAGTGCAATAGCGCTTGGTCATCTTCTCCGTTCCCCAAAACAGCATGGGGAAAGGGGGGCGGCTGCACCCTGACCAGGCCCAGACTGCGCAGAAATGGACAAATCTGTCCCCTTGGTTGGAGGGAAGTTTGAACCTCCCCCCCCACACGCACACCCGGGCAGAAACCACTTCCTGTGTTTGTGTTTGTGGCACAACCGGGTCCTTCCACTCTCTTGAGACAGAAAGCGCCAATCTTTGGCCTTTGTTGAAATCACCCGAATCCTAAGATCCACCTCCCAGACTGGCTGCACCTTTCTCTTCTGAAATATGAAAACTAGAAAGCCAGGTGTGGTGGCCCAGGCCTGTCAATCTCAATGGCTGGGGAGGCCGAGGCAGGAGGATCACCAGGTGGAGGCCAGCCTCCACCACTGAGCGAGGTCCTGAGCCACTCAGCAAGACCCTGTCTCTCAATGAAATAGAAAAACGGGCTGGGGACGGGGCTCAGGGGTAAAAGAAATGCTTAACTTACAAACTCCAAGAAGATCACATGAAAATCCTCTGGGGACTGTGCGCTTGATAAATCACAGACTCCTACCCAAATCTCAGGTGTCATTTTTCTGGCCTTTCTAAGGCTTAGTCTCTTTTCCTTACTGAGGACTTTTTTTTTTTCCTTTTTGTTCCCTGTAAGAAAAGGAATACTAAGTAGAACAGGTTTTCTGAGAAAAGAAAGGCGAGAGGATTCCCAGGGTCTTCTTATTCCAGCCTAAACAGGATCGTGGGCTCCAAGGAGATGTTTCCAAGGTGGAAATGTTCTGCATGATTTATTTTTTTATTTTTGGTACCGGGGATTGAACCCAGGGGTGCTTAACCCCTGAGCCCCATTCCCCAGCCCTATTTTGTATTTTATGTAGAGACAGGGTGTCACTGAGTTGCTGAGGGCCTCGCCGAGTGGCTGAGGCTGGCCTCCAATTTGCGATCCTCCTGCCTCAGCCTCCTGAGCATCCGGCTTAGAGTATGCTTTTTAGAGAGGCAGAGGGATTAAAAGGCAGCCGGGCGCAGTGGCACACACCTGTCATTCCCCAGCAGCTCCAGAGGCCAAGGCAGGAGGATTGCAAGTTGGAGGCCAGCCTCAGCCACTCAGCGAGGCCCTCAGCAACTCAGCAGGACCCTGTCTCTCAAGAAAATAGAAAAAGGGCTGGGGACGGGGCTCAGGGGAAAAGAGCCTCTGAGTTCAATCCCTGGCACCCAAATCAATCAGTAAAAATCTTGTGCATGGTTAAATGCAACCTAAACAAAGTCAAAAGACAAATGACCACGTCATATATAAAGAGCTCTGAAATATCAACAAGAAATGCAAAACCTGGAGACGAAAAACAAAAATGACCAAGGACGTGAACACTCAGCTTACCTCAAAGGAAAGAATGGCTCTTAAAATCTGAGCTGGTCAACCTCATTATATGGGCAAAAACCCAAATGTTTAAGAACAGGCTGTCGTGGTCCATCTGAGAGAGACGGACCCTTTCCCAAGCCTCAGGGAGGGGGTCCAAGGCACCAGGTCCCACGTGGAGGGCGACTGGGGAATGGAGAGAAAGTCACTTCCACCATTTGCACCAGGCAGCCGTGTGTCTAGGCATTTACCCCGAAGACACAGCGTCACGAATGGGAAGTGAGATGTCCCCAGGTTATTGAGTGTAGCCAAATGTTTACTCAACAAGACGCTGGAAACAACCCAAGTGTTTCTCCAGCGACGAGACGAGGCGCTGCTTAAATAAACCTCGGCTCACCCACTCACCACCACGCGAGGGAGGGAGGGAGGGAGGGGGAGGGCTGGGCGCCTGTCACGGCGCAGAGAGATGGCAGCATTCACAGAGGGGGAACCAGCACCCAGGGGCTGGGGAGTGAGCTAGCCCTGAGACGGTGAGGAGGGGAAGAGGGTGGGTGGTGGGTGGTGGATGGTGGATAGAGGGATGGGTGGATGGATGGTGGATGGTGGATGGTGGATGGTGGATGGTGGGTGGATGGTGGATGGTGGATGGGTGGATGGTGGGTGGATGGTGGATGGTGGATGGATGGATGGTGGATGGATGGATGCTGGATGGTGG